TTTGGCTTCTTGTTATTGGCTAATTTTAAAATTATTTTTAAAATTATTTTTAAAATATTTTTTATTAATTAATTTTTAACTAATCAGAATACAAGAAATCAAAAAGACATCAAATTTCAATATGAAAATTTTGAAAATGGGACAAATCATATGAATGTAGTCTTTAAGTGTCTTGCACCGTACAAATTCTAGATTCGAATGGATTGAAATAATTGCAAGAATAATAACATAAATAGAAAAAAAAATTATAAAACTAAGATTTACTAAGTTGTAATTTCTAATTTTTTTTCTTATCTTTCATAACCTCTATATAGTGCAGTGTTTGATTATTAAATGAACCATTTAGTATCTTGTCACTAATTTCCATAATTTGAATGTTGTCTTTCTTGATATTTTTATTTAAAATACATTTTTTGACGAATAATATTAGAGATAATATTAATGATGTGATTCTGCTTAGGCTCGTGAATCTTGTTGTTGCAATGAATTCAACTTTTTCAATTATTCTTTTCTTTCCCCACCATAATGTTGCACCAATAATAATAATAATGATTGCCCTGAATAGACTTATTACAAATAATTTGTATCCTTCGGCTAAACGTTCTAAAACCCTTCTATATTGACGTTCCAACTCTGATATATTACTCCTTTTTCTCTGAAGATTTTGAAGGTAAAATTTACGGACATCTTGAAAATATATATTATTCATGCTGTTGGGATAGATTGGAATGTGTTACATGATGAATTCTTCTTATTACAAACAGAAAACAAAATATTGACATTGATATTTTTCATTTATAATTTTGCATCGACATTCTAAAAATATTATTTTCATTATTCCTCTTTAATGGGAATATTAAAATAAATTCGATTTGATTTCTAATCATCTTATGATTTAAAGAAATGCAGTTTTTAGCAAGGAGAGAGGAGCGAGTGCAGGCAGAAATAATTCGATTTAAGTTCAATTTGAACTGCACTTCGGCACAAAGTGATAATCTCAGACAATAGTAACTTAAAGGATTATATACATATCTATATTTTTATAAATTCTGATCGATCAATAATATTTTATCTATTATTCCCCTTTAATAGTATGGTATTAAAATTCAAATTTCCCTGTAATCTTAGATGATAGTAACTTAAAGAATTATATACCTGTACATATCTATATTTTTATAAATTCTGATCGATCAATAATATTTTATCCATTGTTCTCCTTTAATAGTGTGGTATTAAAATTCAAATTTCTCTGTAATCTCAGATGATAGTAACTTAAAGAATTATATACATATTTATATTTTTATAAATTTTGATCAATCAATAATATTTTATCTATTGTTCCTCTTTAATGTTGTGGTATTAAAATTCAAATCTCCCTATATTCTTAAAATACTTCAAAAAAAGAATGTAATTGTTTTTTTTATATATTATTTATAAAATTTTTGGGTTATCAATAAATTTTAAAAATATATATTTCTTTGAGGATTTTTACTTTTAGCACTCTTAAGTATATTATAATACCCGAGCCTCCCTTAAAATCTTTTCTTCTAATTATTTTTATTAACAAAAATTTTTAACTTCTAGCATGACGACTATTTCATCTTACTCTCAAAATAGTCAAGAAAAAAAGCACAATATATCAGAGTTGAAAAAAGAATATATGAAAGCTTTGGAACATTTAGTTAAAAGAAATAAATTACTTGCAATAAACTTACTTGGAACAAATTTTACTATGATTATTGGAGCAGTATTATTGTGGGGAGATGAAAAAAAAATAATTAGAAAAGTTGAATTTATCATAACATCAAGCTTTATAGTTTTAAGTAGAATTATAACATTGATATTATCTATCCGAAAAAAGCTTGTAAATAAAATCTCTAAAAAAGAAATTCAAACTGTGACAATTGATGAGATTTTAGATGATAAGATTTTAAATGATTTACCTAATTTGGAGTTGCTAAAAAAATTAAACAAAAAAATTAAATCGGTAAACTTGGTCAATTCAAATTTAATTATTTTTTTATCTGTTTATAGCATAATTATTTCAATTATTTCAATTAAGATGAATCTTGATTATCCTGATACCAACAATCAAATATTTGCATTAAATATATTTCTGATTGGTTTGCTATGGGTTTTCTATATTTTTACTTTGCTTTATTTGTTTTTTAGTAGTAAAAAATGCGGAATAAGCAAAGAATATAAAAAAATATTACCCGTTTTTTATTATATAATAAAAATAAGATTTATATTTGTTAAATTAGATAAATTATTGTTTTAAATTATATCTTAATGTTTTTTTATCTTTTTATTCCCAAATTATATGTATAGCTAAAAATTCTTATTTGTATTTTCAACTTTAAAAGCTAGAAAATAAAATGCCAATAGCTCTATTTTATAATATCTATAAACTTTTTAGTTTTGATGATAATTGCTGCCATAAAATAAAATTTACATACACATATATAAATATCTACTTTATTCAAAACCAGATTTCTAGCCATTAATTCTGAAACTCTTCAATGGAGAGTTATGAGTGGGTTTATGATATGAATAGTAGAAGAGTTCATGATCTTGATGAGTTATTTACCTTAACATAGTTGATATACTCTAAGATTAATACACTATTCAGATTTATTAATTATTTCTTTGTAAAAACTTCTTATCTTAATCGAAGTATGACAATAGTACTTCAAGCAGCTTAAAGTTTACAAATACGTATTTGCTATTGCACAACTTCTTATTAATATTTGCTGTCACGTGATACTTTTTATTTTACTTTAATCAGCCTAAGTATAAAAGCTAATAACAACTTAAAATATACTATTGATATTTAGAATTTATTAATGTTAATCTTTGTTCTTAAAGTACTGAACATGATAGGTGACATGAAGTGCCATCTAAAATACTAGTAATTATTTAATATCGTTAGCAGCTTTTCGATTATTCTTAAGTAGAATATCTATATGAGGATCATTCTTATAACATTGACTTGAATTTGGTTTTGTCTTTTAGATTTGTTTTTAATCTGCATTTTTTGTTAATTTTACTATATGGTGATACTTCTATATCTTTTTTTAACTTTATATGCTGAGTGGAGGCGTTGATCTTGATTGTCGATGTAAAGAATCATAAATGACAAAATTTTTATCTGAAAGAATCTATAATAAAACCAAAAATAAAGATTATTGTTAT